ACACACACACACACACACACACACACACACACACACACACACACACACACACACACACACACACTGTTATGTATTCACCAGGTTCTCTGTAGTCATGCTCCAGTGAATGTGAAAATATCATTTATTTACACAATTTTTCATATCCTTTGGAGTTTTGTTTGCCAGTATGGAAGTGAAAAGTATTAAATCAGACTGAAGATGATCTTAAAATATCTAAATTTAACCCTTTATTTGATTTGTCACCGGCTCTCTGTTCACGATTAACTAAATTCAAGGTAATTCTAGAAAATGTAATGTGACTATCAATTATATTGTATTAATCAGAAAATTGTATTCTGAAGAGTTAGTATTGGTAAACCGCATCTACATGATAAAGCATGCCCTGTTGTCTCTGGATGTCTCCAGGCTGCTCTCGTGTCTGTGACGATGATGATGATGATGACTATGAAGCATTAGTCACATTTGTTTCATGAGTCACTCAGTTATCTCCCTCCCTGACTCTCTCCCTTGACCTATCCTCCCCCCAGGATGTTGCGATGGCTGGTTTGCGGACGCTTGGGTCCAGTGTGGATGTGGAAGGCATTGCTGCTCTTCGTGGCCATTGCGTTCGCCAGCCAGCTGTTGGGGGTCATCTTCAACAAGAGGTAAGTACTTTCATTCATTGTATTTGATCAGGTACTAATTGTAGCTGCGGCTCCTGTTCATATTTTTTAAGACACAGTCATTTCATTTTTGTGGAAACGCTACAAACAGCAGATTTAATCATGGAGCCAAAAATCTTACCACACCGAGTTTAGCCATAGTGAAGTTAAACATGGGTACAGATTACCAGTCATTGCACTTCCTGTGACTTCTGGAGGATTTTCAACTCTTGACCTATTTTAAAAACATGGAAGACCACAGACATAATGACCAATTTAACCGATTTTTTATTGTATACTCTTCAGAACACACACGCTAGAGGATTTGACCAGAACGTAAGACCATGCAAGAAACAATTTCATAGTGGGGATTCAAGAGACTTGGAATCTCACAGAAACTCACAAGATTTGTTTACGTCTGTTTTTAGTCACCACTGTACAACTACGCAACATCCGCTCAGCTCTCCCATTGGCTACTGCAGGTTTCTGCCAGAGCTGATTATCGTAAATATCAGTCATGTTTGATATTAACAATTCGAGATTGGGGAGCCTCTAGCTTCAAGATTCTTTATTAAACCCCTCGCGCTTCAGGATCAATGGAGGGCGATAATCTGCACTGACTCAAATCAAGTCCATAACGCCCCTGCGATTGTCGGAGGGGGCGAATTGGATCCTAAATCGAACCGATTATCCTCTATTGTGCAGCAGCCTTTCTTCATATTTAAAGCCAGCTATGGTTTCACTAGTTAAATGCTTTTAATGTGAAGCATAAAAGGAAATTATATTGTTTTCTGAAATTGTAATAATAGTATAACTGCAAATGTATTGCAATGGGGTCAGTCTATATAGTGTCACTTCAGGATAAATGGGTTATTAATTATTTGGGCTGTACAAGATAATAGATTAAAATGGTTAGTTCACACTGGTTTTTTCTATCTACGTATCAAACCCATCATACTTGTACAAAGCTCTATAAACAGATTTTGAAACTGGTTTCAGTTTCAAGTTTGACCAATCACGTTTGAGAAGTCTTTGGTTGGCAGCAGGTTAACAGTAAGAGGTGAAACACATTGACAAGAATGCATTGGTTACTGTCTTTTTAATTAATCTACATTCATATGCCGGTAGCTATTAACAGAAATTATGTCTGGACCCTTTAACACCTACAAAAAGATTTGCTGTTTGCGTTTTATGTGGAGAATCACTAAACGCATGTGGACTCATCACACTGAAAACCGTTTATGACAAACTGAAAATGGACTCTTGGCCTGGACAGCCCCTGTCTACACCAGAGCCACGAAAAAAAGAAAATTGGCTGCTGCCCCCAAAGGTTAATTAGTTGTCACACGACAGTCGATGGGCTGTAAGATTGTATCTTTGCATTTCAGAGTTCACCACAATATCTAGATTGAATCGAGATATTATCCTTTTTATTCTAATGCTCTGGTTTCAGTGTAAAATGTATGTCTTCATTGAGCAAAGCATTCTAAGTTAAACTTTCAAGGATGGAGGGAGCATATTACAGCAGGTTTTAGAGGTACATTACTTGCAGTGGACTCACAGGGTTATGCTGTTTTTGTGCTGTGGGTGCGATGGGTCTGTTGCGGGACACACTTTGCTCTTTATCATCTGGCAACTGTTTATCACAACGACTTAACAAACGTGCGAGCTGTTGTGTTTTCAGCTTGTTGTGCTCCTAAACAGCAAACAAAGAGTTGAGGAAATGTGTTGGGGCTTTTGAGCATATGGTTACCATAGACACAAGTGTATGTATATATATACTTAATGCAATTGAGGCACAAGTTTGTCCATTCTACAAATCTACCATTTAAAAAGAACAACGGAAACAAAGGCTGCTGCTGCTGCTTGTTCTATTTTTATGCTGTGTAAGTCCATAACTATAACCACAGCAATGCTTTAATGACTGATGTTCAGCTTGCAGACGACCACATGAACCACACTGACAGAGCTACAGGGACCAAGTCATGTGACGTCTCTTCACAATGTGTTGTAGTGTGGAAAAACAGGCTTGGAGCAACATCAGCTTCAAAGCTGGATTATTTTAGTTTATTAACTAATTGCATGCTCTCTTCCAAACTATACTGTTCTAGCTACATCTTCAAGTAAAATAGGCGAATGGCATTGAGGTGAGAGATAACAATGGTGACCCCTGATTGTTACGACTGGCACCATGTCCCTAGATAGGTAAAAATATTCTGTTAAAATATTATTTTCTTAAGCGAACAGAGTTAACTCAGTTACCCAGGCATTAATCTATCTATAATCTATTTTTTTCTATGACCTCGATTGAGCTACATGTGGGGAGTTTTTTCTGGTTACAAATGTGCAGAGCTACAAAGATTGTGATGACCCAACAATTACAGTGACAATATGGAAACTTGCTAAAATGGGACGTTTAGTGTTACTTCCCCATCAGGTTCTGGGATCACAAATAAGCCACACAATTCTTTTATATAATCAACTCATAATGATGAATTTTACTCGGGACAAACGTGACGACTAGAAGTTTCCACAGTAGAGTTTAGTCGGAAAGAGGCGGAGCGAGATTTTACAGAACCACCTGGCTCGGTCAAATCTCTGTTTTCAAATTCTCTACTTTCTCTCTATTCTTTACATAATCTCTTCTTCCGACAATGATTCATTGACCAAGGAACCAGTCAATGATCTGAATGTCTTAAATGTATCGTCTAGGGCAGCAGGGCCCAATATTTTGATATGCAGAGTGTGAATGCACGGCGCAGTTTTTGGTGTCTTTTGTGAACATCTATCACGCACGTTGATATCGCGATGGCGATAGATTTTTAGATGTTTCTTGCAACACTACTCAATAGTAGTCAGCAGGTACAGAGCAACATTAGCATTAATTTGTCTTTACTTCATTTACCTCTAGTTTCGTCTCCACCAACTCCTGAGAAAAAATGTTTTTGTCTTTAGCTGCTAAATGCTCCACTGTGTCCTGGTCTTTTCACTGCCCTCTGCAGCTGGGACCTTCACCAATGGCACAACCTGAAGCAATTAGAGGGGCTATAACAAACACACAGAGCTGAGGGAGACTACATGGTTGTTGACAATTCTCTAAAGATCCATCACAAGTTACACCTTTCACATTACATGGATTCATTTCATCCATTGTTGATTTGCAAAGCTTTAAGGCTCAAGTTTCAGGATTATAAATGTGCACGGTTTGATCAAAAGTTAAATATTGTTTTTCCTCCACCTGTCCTCCAACAGTGTCCAACCAGCTGCTCACTCCATTTTCTCGTCCCCTGATGCTCAGGGGCCCTCTTTGGGCTCCTGTCAGCCCCACACCCACATCATGTTTCTGAAGACCCACAAGACGGCCAGCAGCACTGTGCTCAACATGCTGTACAGATTTGGTGAAGAGCGCAACCTTCGCTTTGCCCTGCCAATGGGCTACCAGCTGGGCTATCCGCTGCCCTTCAATGCTCACAGAGTCAAAGGGTATCAGGGTCCTGGAGCCATGGAGTTCCACATCATGGGAAATCACATGAGATTTAACATGCTGGAGGTGAGTTATGCACAATGATGATGAAATATGTTATGTGGATGCATTGTATTATAAAGAATGAGAGGTCAGATCATGTATTTGCTTGCATAGAATGTAGTAGCTGAAAGTTTGTTGGTTGCTGTTTTAGCAGCACATGATTGCAGGAAGTCGCAGATACTGAAATAATCGAGAACAAATTTGATGTGCTGAGACACAAAACCCGGACATCCCTCAGATGAAGGTAGCGATGAAAAAAATAGTAAAATGTAGGGCTGCAAAATATATCGAAAATGTATATATCAACATCAACATATCTCTATTTATATCGCAAATGTCTGCTTGAACTACGATAAAGGGTGTTCCACGTGCCATGCTCTGCATGTCAATATATTTGGCCAATCAGATGGAGCCCTGCCTCCCTAGATGATAAATTAAAGATATTCAGATCATTGTCAGGTTTTTCCATCAATTAATTTTTGTCTGAAGAACAGAACAAAGAGACAGTGGCTAAAAAGTGGAAATAAATAATTTTTCACAGTCCAAACATGTACTACCATGCTACCAGCATGTTACTTTGACTACAACCACTAACACCATGTCAAACTAGTCATACCTTACTAATTAAAATCAATATGGTCCATTTCCAATAAGTGTTAATTTTAAAGTTTAAGATACATCAGCTCCCATGTGGTAGTTTCTGCCATTAGTGTTGCGATACCAACATTTTGGTTTCGATACTGATACCAAATCTTGGATTTTGTTTCGTTTCTATTCCCAGGAGCAGCCATGTTCCGTAGTGTGTGTGAGTTGGCATCATTCATAAAGTATACTAATGAAATTAGGTATTGAAAAGTTTTTTTAATGGCTGGGTATCGCGATACCTTTATAGTATCGGTATACCGTGCAAAACTAGTTACCATAGTCATTTGGCAAGTTGTGGCAAAAGTGAAAAAGTTGAACCATCCTCTGCTCAGACAAAAGCAGCAGACAGAAGTTTGTGAGAGTGGCAGCTAACCAGCTTGTGCCTACATTTAAAACATAAATGCATGCATAATTTTATTCTCAAAGAGCTTGATTCGTTTCAAGTGAACTACAAAATAATCCTGTGCAAGGAATCTTTTGCTCAGAACAACCAACATACTACTGCTTTAGTTGAATTACATCACATTAATAAAACATTTTTGTAACCACATGTCCCTCCTCTATCTCTTAGGTGGAGAAGGTCATGCCGGAAGACACCTTCTACTTCTCTATCATCAGAGACCCGGTCTCTCTGGCTGAGTCCTCCTTTGCTTATTACAAAGAAGTAGCACCTGCCTTTCGGAAAGCCAAAGGATTGGGCGACTTTGCTGATGACCCTAATAAATACTACGACACTCGTCTCCGCAATAACCACTATGCCCGTAACTTGCTGTGGTTTGACTTTGGCATGGACCACAATGCTAATTTCTCAATGGCACTGGCTCAGCGTGGTGAGGCAATGATCCGCCGGGCCTTCAAGCTAATTCTGGTGTCTGAGTACTTTGACCAGTCCATGATCTTGTTGAGGCACGCCCTCTGCTGGCCACTGGACGCCGTTGTCTCTTTCAGCCTCAATGCCCGCCAGCAGAAGCCCACTGGCATTGGGGTGATGAGTGGGAGCTGGGTGGGCAAAGCAGCGGCAGCGGCTGGTGTCAGTGTTAGAGGAGGACGTTCGCAAGCTAAAATGCCGCCCAATCTGCCACTCACAGAGGAACAGCGTGAGAGGCTGCGGCAGTGGAACGCCTTAGACTGGTACTTATACAAAGCCTTCAACCAGACCTTCTGGGAGGAGATCCAGAGGTTTGGTCTCAATGAGATGGAGCAGGAAGTAGCTCTTCTCAGGGCACGGCGGGAAGAACTAGCCCGGGTTTGTCTTAGGGATGGTGGGAAACCTGTGGAGGCATACCGGATCCGAGATAAAACCATCCGGCCATTTCAGAGTGGATTAGTGAAGATTCTTGGCTATGAGCTTCAGTCGGGGCTGGACAACACCACCAGAACAGCCTGTCTAAGGATGATCAGACCAGAGATCCAGTACAAAGACGTGCTTGATGCTAAGCAGTTCCCACGGGATCCGAAGACTCAAGTTCAGGCAGGGCAACAGAGCCAGGGACGGATGGTCTCAGCCGGTGGCTCTTTTTTAAGACACGATTCATCTAGAACAGGAGAGACGCTGGTGGCGGGAGAGGTTGGGGGGAGGACAGTGGAGGAAGGGGAGAGAGACTGGGATGGAAGCCATTTAATTCGGACCAACCACACTTTGATGCGAGGGAAAGCACAAGGAAGGTTGAGATAGTTTGAGGTGAGTGTCCTTCTCAAATATGGTACCTTTGGACTTGGAGAAAACAGAAAGATACTCCTTTGCACTTGCAACCTTTTAGTCATTTTCCTGTATTCTTAAAAACTGTCTCTACTGTTAGTTGGTGTAATCCTTTTGGACTTGACTTTGAACCTCTTAGCACCTGTGATGCTTTCATGGCTGCAATAACAAGCTGAACAGGAATTGAAAGGCCAACTTAGATTTTTTGTATAAGGAGAAGTTGTGGTGTTAGTGGGTCCTGCTGCTGTTCATCAGTCACGTGACAGCAGACACACAGAAGCTTGTTTTATTCTCTCTTCATATTCATACTTTTTAAGAGTTGTGATTTACATGTTGACCTCAGTGCCCGTGCTTGAAATTTCTCAACATAAAGGTAAGAGTGGCCCCAGTTTGTGCCTCTCATGCAGTACCATTACATGAGCGAAAGAGCGAACATCTGTTTTTGAGATAAATGCCTGATGATTTCTCAAACACAAGGGTCATTTTTCCAGAAACCTCAGAGACTCTTCTTGCAATTTGGATGAAGAAATATCCTAACTGCTGCTCGGATAAAAATGTGTTTAACTTGTTTCTATAGTTGCTAAATCAATTTTCACATTTCCCACAGGGGCACAAAATTATTTGAGAATTGTATTTTCATACAAACTAATATCAATCAATCAATCAATCCAATTTTATTTGTATAGCCCATATTCACAAATTACAATTTCACTCGAAGGGTTTACGATGAGGCTGTATATATTGCACAAAATGAGCCGTTTTCAGACATTGCTTGTGAAGGATCTCGTGAGGTTTCCTTTCACACATGTTCACAAGAAACAAATATCCATAGGATTCAGACGAAGTGGGAGCAGTGGGCAGAGGCAGCATGTAACATATTAATTCCACTGCAGAGATCACATGATTTTCTTAACAGCACATTGACAACGCATTACATCATCACAAACTCTCTTGACATCTTCATCATTGTTTTCTACATGTTGAAGCACGAGAACCCCCTCGTTGTGCATCCAGAGGGGGATCTCTTACTGTGTTCTCACACTGACATCTGTGGACATTTTGCTGGCTTTATACTATGGGGTCTGGTGGAGAAAGTCTGCAGAAACTGCAGGGGGTCTCACCCGGACATTTGCATCCACACATACACCTCCTCCAGAGAGTCTCTGGAATTCAGTGCATGTCTGAAAGAAGCTAAAGTATGTTATTTCCATCTACCTGAATTAGGAGATATCATGTAATGGATTGAAATGTTTTTTTTATTCAGATGGTTGGAAGAGTCTTGTGACAACTGCTGCTAAACCACCTTCTGTGTCTGAGAGTAAATTTCAGAAAACCTCTTTGAATTAAATTTAAGAGAAACACATCAGATTGCAAACTAGGATCAGAGTATGTATCTAGCCAATTTTCCATGGCTGATAGAGTTTCAAGTCAGTGCGGGTTGGTAGTTGTTCAGGGGTTCAGCTTCGGACTGATAACCTGAATGTCTTATCAAATATCTCTGAATAATACATGAGTGGAAAAGGATCTGAGGCCTGCACTTCTGTTTTGAGCTGTCTGATACTCACCAGTCTGCAGGAAGCAGGTGAGTGTGACCATTTAGGCTCATTGGTTTCTTCCACTATCTGCTAAAATAGATACATGCACACACATTCCCACAGAGACACTAATGCTTTGACATAGTGTGAAAAAATGTCCTCTCTGATCACCGCCTATAATTTGAGACAAAACCTTAAATGTTCCAACAGAAATTTAGTGATGTAGGTAGGGTGCTGTGACTTGACCTTGTTTTAGATTACATGTGTTATTTCAAGGAGACACCAGTGCTGCTCAGGAGCTTGCCTAACCTCATAAAACACCCAAAGACACAATAGCTTTGGGCACAGGAGCGCTCGAAAGGATCTTGTGTCCTGTAGAGGTCACATGCTTGCTCATGTGAAGTGAGCTGACTGGATTAGTATGAACTATAGTCAGAAGCTGTTCTGCAAACCCAGCCTGGCTGTTAACCTGACTTTGCTTGTGTGGAGGTCAGATCCAGTGATTGTTATAGTGCATGTGTGAGATATCATAATAATAATTAGTTACAGACTCAAGTTCAAACAGCAGCTTGATAAGTCAAGCTATTGACATTACACAAAACATGGATGACGAAAGTAATGTTGGTTGATGGTTGGAACCTTTTGATTAATGGTACAAATACTAATTAATGGTAATTGTAATGCATTTACATTTTTAGCCTTTAATCTCTTATTTGGTATTTGGTTGTGACCATTATCAACTGTCCATGTAGAGTGACCTGGATTTGAAATTTTATTTATTATCATTAACACTAATAACGAGTCAGTTTCGGGGAATTTATTGTTGCAGCAACAACCAAGTTTTTTCCGCATTCCAACCTCAAAGCACATAAACACGCAAAAGTCAGAAGAATGACTTTGTCTTATTTTCCTCTCATAAAATCAGTCATACACACAATTGTCCATCTTCTGTCTGTGTATTGTTTGAGTGTTTGTTTATGCTAAATAACTAAAAAATAACGTGTTGTTTTCACACACATCGCTAACAAGAGCAAGTACAGCAAAGGCAGCCATCTCGGTTCTCTGACTACTTGAACGTGGTCAACTCAGGTGTCATTCCCGGCTTTGACTTCTGTGGTATATGGAACACATCATTAATTACATATGTCCTTGTCAAATGATCTGCGAAAGCTGGCTGTAACAATGGAAACCAAGGCTGAAATGGTGGGTGTCATGATGTCACTGATGTGGTTCACTTTTAGTTCTGTGACATGAATATGTCAAGTAGGGCTGTCACGATATCAGATTTCCATTAATCATTCATCATGCCAAAAAGAAATCACAATAAGG